CCCAGTGAAGTGCCGAAGATATGCAGTGATAGAGAATCTACATTCGTTGGGTTAGAGTAGGAGTTACAACTTCCATCACCAGATATGTAAAATAATAGAGCAGCTAAAGAAATGACCCAATGGAACATAGAACGGCACTACTACACACCCTACGCAAGACGTCGTGGGGGAATATGGAAAAATTAGTAGGAAACGTTAGTAGAACTTTGAGCGCAGTATCTAGTGAACAAACTCTGTCTTATAAGACGCTCATCACCTATTCGACTGAAGTAGAACGAACACTTAGTGGTAAACGTTTCGTACCAGTTTACGGTGACCCAGAACATCTCGAAACATGGTCACCCAACAGCTTACTGTTCTTAAGAATACCTCAACTTATTCACATCAAAATAAACCTACGCGAACGTTATTCTCGACGATGGCGACAAGGTCAACCGTTGGCGACTACATTTTGACGTCGATGGATAAAGGAATATTTATCACTGTTGCAGATGTGAACAAAGTGGACACAAAACAGGCGATATTTATAAGCATATCGATCTGGTCTTCACCACTGAATATACTTAAATACGAAATAAAGGACTTGAAGTTCTAGCGATGTGTGTTGATCCATGAGAAGATGGTCTCATCAGATAAGCAAAGACCAGATCATTGAAAGATATAATCACTAGTGATACACGTGGAATTTGCTTATTAGAAAGAGCAGCCGATTGAGTAGTAGAGTGTAGAAAGACTTTGCGGAATGACTGTGATTAAAGCAAATTGTACCGTTGATATCTCTTTTTTTTTACCACTAAATATCTAGTCGGTGAGAGTAAGGAAAGTTATGCTGTCCTTGGGCAGCGATGTTGAGTTTCTTTTACATTGTTCTTACTCGCTTCTCTTTCACTCTTTTGAGTATTGTTTTATACTACTTATTCACATTCAGTAAGTAGTTGTAATCCCAGTCAAGTTTATACTTTCGTTGTATCGCAAGTAGTCGTGTAATATTCTGAAATATTTACATATAATTATAACGTTTATCGTATTTAGCATTGACTTTACCTTAATCACTGTAGCAGTTATCCACAGTTTTGTGCCTTTGTTCTAACGCAACAGTTTCCAAATTGTTTCGCTATCGTTTAGGCTTTCAGATGTTGATAAACTTACCAAAATTAGACAAATCTATCAGTTGTCGTTTGTACTACCGAAGCCATTTTATTTCATACAAAAAAATGCGTAAAACGTCACAGATACCTCACAAGTTGTGGTTTGTAACTAATGTTTGTATATTATTCAATAAAGAACCGCTATTGTAGACAAATCTTTGTTTTTCAAACTTCGGTTTTGCACGTATCACAATTGGGTGACCTGCACGCTTCGATAGACCTGACACTGTCAATACCCTAGAAGTTTGTAATGGTGAAACATTTGATTACTTTCACGGATTTAATACCGATCATTTGTATTTGCCTAAAAGTATCTTGATTAATGCTGCAGCGCCATCGACATACGGGTTTTAGGAAATTGGAATAACTGATCAGGAAGCGGATGCGATTTGGTATGAGATTATAAACTTCAACATCATGTATTAGAAAATTGGTTGGATGGTTTGGTTTAATTTGTATCTATGAATTATTTATTAGATTTATTTTTTAAATGGGTTAAGTGTTCCTGTTTTTGAAGTGATTTGCTTGGGTTGAAATTCAACAAATGTTCTTACACAGCTTCAATCACATCTTATATGCCTTAAGAGAACAATATTTTGTTGATTAACAAAGACCATTTTGTTCATACTCAACGTATTTTATTTGACATTCTGTATATTGAATATTTTGAATCAAAACACACAACAAAACTATTATAACGTCAGTGTTGTATGAATGAATACAAATATACAGTAAACGTCACAAAGAGTTACTACAAGCAATCATTCAAAGTGCTGGTGTGAATATGGAGTAACATATAAATGTCCTAAGGCTTGATACAATAAAAAGATACTAATGCTAACAATGACGAAGTCGAAAGAATTATCTTGTATCGTTTATGCTTGAACACTCGGTTGATCTTCATCAACGGTACTGATCTATAATGAATGGGTAACAATTGGGACATTTTCTTTCAACCACTGAATAATGGCAGAATATACTTCAGTCCACTTCAGTTTTTCACTGGATATCTCAAATAAATATTTGACCTTCTCTTGAAGTTCTGGGTCTATTTGATTATTAGCTTCTGTTAGGAGGATCTGTAAAGACAAAAATGTCGTTTCATGTACAATTCATATGGAGCCAATTCATAAAATTGACAGTTTAAATTTGAGATGAAAAATAGTGGATGTCAATCAGTTATACAGCAAAATAATGAGTGTTTGGTTTATTATAAAAGAACATTGTCAAGAACCGCAAATTGCAGAAATGCGTAGTTGATGAATTCAACTGTTTTCATTTTATTCAGTTTCACTTCATTGAAACTGTTTACGATCAATGGTGTTTGTGCTACCGAACATTATCAGATTTGTCTAAATGATCACATTCGGAAAATTAAATCGCAGCATATGGGACGAAACAAAGTAACACTTGTCAAGCGACGGAATGTAAACAGGCTCTTCACTTACCTTTTCATAATTCCTTCCACTAAACAATGAGTAAGGATATTTAGTTAGTGCGTTTAGTATGGATTCCGTGAAGTCTCTGTGAAACAAAATTAGAGAGCGAAATACAAAATTAGTATGGTTATTTTCCATCAAGAATATCCATAGACGAATGACTGAGTACCTGGCAGTGCTAACAAGACAATCATCATATTCAACTAATGAAAAAGAAAATGCTCTACACACTCAGGGAGTTGCTCTGATGCTGTCAAAGAAGCACACCAATGGGGAGTCAATTTCATAGACCAAGCAAATCAAAGCATTATTCGAAACAAAGAAGGTGAAAAGTACAATGAATTTTATTCGATATTGTGCACACAACGATTGAAGCAACGACGATAATAAAGATCAGTCCTACAGGAGGCTGCAATCGATCATGGCTAAGCGCTTGGGTAAGGACCTAATCATGCTGACAAGTGATCTAAACACGAAAGTCGGAGTGGATAACAACGGATACGAAGATATAGTGGGACGACATGGACTACGACGAATGAACACAGACAGTACATTCAACAAATTAGTTGTAGAGGCACAATATCCTCACACAAATGCATACACCAAGTTAAATTTGCCTGAAAGGAAACGAGAAACAGGCTTATGACTCGACGATGGTGGCAAGAAAATGTACTAAGCCAGAGAGACCAGTCATGGACAAAGAAGGCAAGAAATTCACTGAGGTTGAAGAACAGAGAATTAGATGAGCAGAACACTTTGAGTAACTATTAATTAGGCCAGATCCAGATGTCACTTCACCAACCATCGAAGAAATCAGGGTGGTCATCAGATAAACCGAACACCAAATTCAGAATCTTCAATACGAACGTCAAGACAGTTGTATTCTACTGAGCTGAAAAATGGAGTTCTAAAACATCCAAAACCTAAATAGCACAACTCTGAGTTATTTAAGGTAATTTACTGGTCCTTGTACTAACTGTTTATTGATATGTTAATCAGCTTAAAATTACATTTGCTGAAAAATTTGTATGAGATAAATTACTATGTTCATCAAAAGGTTGATATATTCGATAGAATTTTTCATATGCGAAAGCATGAATGAAATAGGTCTACATAATCTCCTTTATTGCAAACTGACATTCCAAGGTATTGATATTCAATCTATCTCCTACATATAATGTATACCATTCGACTTCACAAGCAAAACGCGAACGTCTGAAGTCAACAAGCACCATCTACCTCATGACATTAATATGACATCGGTTCCTCACTGTCAATAAAAATTTAAACTCACTTATGTTTATCAAAATTATTTACATCACTCAGGTGGTCCCATAAAAGTTGATTGCCAACTGGAGATTTCGCGAAATAGTCAAGCGTAAACCACAAGTTCTCGTTCTCTCTTACCCGCTCTAAGTACCTGATGAAAAGATGGAGGAAATATTTAGCTAAGTAGGTGTGGTGTGCTAATTTATTCATATGAACATTTACATTTGTAGAATAAAACGATTTAAGGGTCAGGAATAAAGTGTGGTCGATGAGATTTGTGGCTAAAATGACTGGTATTGGAGACGATTCCTTCTCTTTTCATTGTGAATTCTATCCCTACGAAGATTTTGTTGATTTCATTTTACGTATTTTAAGCACGATCATTTCGATGATGACGAATGTGTCGCACACATAACGAATCGACATTCTCAGTGTGATTACAGGTAAATATGAAGCTTTCAGTTATTACATCACCACTTTGTAATAAGTCTTTATATCGGTAGTCCCATTGATGTCGGTTTTGTTTGTCAGTGAACGCTGTTGTTGAATTAAGAAAAATTTGTTCAGTATTAACCGATGGGTTCTAGTTGACTTTAAACATTCGTGTACTCAGAGTTTTTGTGAGTGCTATATCTTGATGATAATCATGAGGTAACTGTTGATCCACATGTGAAATTCTACTGATCTCAGTATATCCACATGTCTTAAATTTAAGTCAATTATGATATGAAAGCAAATTAACTGAAGTTGATAATGTAAACCACTAGGGTTTGAATCAGTTGTTCAAATTTGTCGTGCTCACTCGATGGTACATGATAGATTCCGCCCAAAAATGTGAGTGATATGGTTTAAAGTACTTTCAACCATAAATTAAGAACATGTCCCATGTTCTATTACGTTTGAGGGTGCGTTGGGTAAACATTTATATAAAAACACATATGTTTCCAATTATTAAATCATAGTCATTGTCACACATAATTTCAGAAAATATCATGCACGTTTTGTGAAATCTTCGATCATAACAAACGGATTTATTTTCTGTGACCATATTCATTAGCTGATAGGAATGGGGATTCCGAACATCTAGTCGGGTTACCGTTTTCAATAACAGGTGTGACTGTAATATTGAAGGTAACAGAATAACTTACCTTTTCATAATTTCTTTATCGCGAGAACACGTTAATGCCAGCATCTTGTTTTCATTCTCAATCTCATTCACAGTTTCATTCAATATCAGCTGACTTTCTAAAAATTTCCATTCTTCATGACCACCATGACGAATAGCTGTACAATAAGTAATGTCTCTCAAATCAGGTAGTATGCTGTAAAATAAAGCAAACGCGAACAAAAACCTTACTTTCGTTTTCAGAGTTAATTGAATTTCTTGGTATAAGATCGTCAAATCGATTTCAATATGCACGATTATTGTGCTGCGTTCATTCATATATTACACTTTCAGATACATTTATAAGCATAGTAAGTTAGTAATATATGCTTATCAATATAGTTCGGACATAGTAACAACTTAAATCTCCTACCAATTCCGGATGTGAATTTTCTTCATACAATCAATTTGTATTATTCCGAACGATCAAATTCACATGTTTTAATTTGTTTCACGGTGAACTGTGAAATAAAAACATGGTTTGGACGTTTTGCACCTTAATATGAATAGCAGAACCTGAGCTCAAATATTCTACTTATCATTCCGTACTCTTTGAACCTTTGTCAACCTAGCTCTGGCCAATTATTTGCTCTGATTAATCGATCTCGTTAAGGCCATGAAACATCAAAAATCATAACTCATATTCGGTGGAATATCTCAACTTCAAGGTAAACCGGCTACGTTTCTTAACGATCGGTCGTGCACAGACGAAATCGCGATACATTAGATCAATGTACATTATTTATTCATTTATTTTATTTTAACACATTGATATCGGTACAAGAAAGCATCAAATACATATGCGCCACACAAATCTCACTTGATATGTGTGAGGGCTGTGACACTGCTAGTGAGCCCAAACCAAAGCAACTAGTTAAAATGAATCCGTCATTAAGAAACAATTACCATGGTTATGAAAAAGCGTTTGACTTTGAATATAGAGGAAACAATACAAACCCTCTTCAAATCGTACTGTAACTGGAAGGATTGTCAGCATCAAACGGAATCCAGACCACGGATCACAATTCAATTTCACGCATGGCAGACAGCAAGTGGATGACCAGCAATTGAAGGCTGAGTACTTATTTTCTTGCTCTTTCTCCCTGCATTCAAATGAAATGTAGCAACAGCCATATCTCAGGAGAAGCACGGAATACATTGGACAGCCTCGATTCACTTGGATATTTTGGAGTTAGTAGATGACTCGTTCTAAACTGCATAAACTGCAGTGCGTTGTTCAGAATGGTGCAAAAAGGTCAAATCACTTAATTCGAAGATTTTCCGCAAATAAAAATCTATTATTCATACAAGAGAGTTATTGTCGACTGATCGACAAATCCAGGTAGCACACATCATCCGTCTACCATAGACATCAATTTTACAGCTATCCCACTACGCCCACTGACTTACAAGTTCTTTACATTCGGGAAACCATAACATTGACAAACTATTCATACTTTTGTGTTTGACCATAGCAACAAAAACTGATCAAACAATCTATTTTAAGCTGCATTTTAAGAATTAGTTTAAATAAAATTAAACATAATATAAAGGTCTATTATACGCTAGTATGTCTTATCATATAAAAATCATTAATTGCACGACTAACGGGTTCGTTTCGGGTTTCGACATCCATTGTCTGAAGAGATCCGTAGTTTTGTTCACACAAAGATGATGTTCAGCTATACAAGCGAGTTTGATCACATTATAGTCTAAACGTCTAAAATCGAGTAAATGGTGGAAGGATAGTTATGTTATACTTTAGTAAATATATACATACATATACGTTATTTGTTTATACTATTATTAGTGAGTTATGTAGACAGTTGTTAGAGATAAAATATCACGGAGATGCCTAAAGATGTTCATTGAGAACAACGGTTCATCCAATGGATTCGAGATTGCTGCGATTTTGTAGCTGAAACATAATGTCTTCACATCAAAAATGTTGCCACATGTTGCATTGTCTCGAAACCTGTCTTGTTATCTCTTTGGAAAAAATTGAATATCATTAAACTCACCAGTTGGTACAACATCGACGAGCTGGTGATTTCCGTAGTTTTTGACGAAATAAATTTTTTATCTTATTTTAACGGCGAACTGTTACCGTTTCCATAATAATAAACTTGAAATGAAAAAGTACAACTCTGAATATCCGATTACGACCGTTTATACTACATGGACTTCAGATAACTATATTACAACAATACACAATTTACAGTTAATTAACGAGTTCTAATTACAGGAGCACACAATTTGAAGTGCACACTAACCAGTCACTTAACCTTAAATTCGTTTATTCATTACCGTTCCAGTTTAATAATATAGTTCGGATATTCCAAATCCCGGCTGATGAATCTCACCCCTCTCACGAACCGTACATTTCATCTGTTTTCGGCTACGTTTTGCTTCAATTAGCATTTCTGATAACAATACTGGCAAATTCATCATATTCTGTTGAATGTCTTACATACAGAATGTTTCGAACAAAACGTCTTCTGAGACTATATGAGTGATATGACAGAGTGGAAACATTCGAAATGGAAATATTACTACTCACATCTTTGGAAGATCTTGACCTTCACCAACAAATGACCAATTCGCTGATCGAATTCGGTTATCGATAAGAGTTCGCAAGTATGCTTGGAAATCTTCATAATTCTCATTCAGAGCAAGCACCTTGTTAATGTAAAGCAGCGCTCGACTAGCTGTTATCCATACAAGAAACTCATCTTCACAGTTTAAATATCTTGTCGCGTTCAGGAAAAGAGTATACGGTACGATATGTTGACTGACAAGGAGGCCAAAGCAAAACAAAATAGATAAATGTGAGTTAATTGCAAAGTAAAAAATAGGCTCAAAAAGACTTGTTTGAGTAATTTGTTCACAGCCGAGTCTATGGAAGTTCAATATTTCACACTCGAACTCTGTGTACACAAGAGTCATGCTCAATGCTTTATTCTTTCATGATCTTAGCATCCCTTCTAATTTCACAGTTTGCAAGTGCTAATTATTGCTTTATTCTTCCCCTCCTGGAATAAGTGGACCGGTATACTTAGCACTTATTTTATGGATCATTAGCTCTCATAAATTCAGAATCCATTACATAAGGTGACAACCTTTTCTGTATCACACAAAATCAATTTACTTTTTTCGACTCCCACATGAATAAGTTTGACTATGTTTGACAAATATTTGAAATCCCGCTATTTTACCGTAGAATACTACATTTAAAAATCACCTATAAATACGACTGCACGGCTTCCGAAAATGATACCGTCGGAAGGAAAATTTCCTTCATAATTTTCGTATGACTAGTTTAGATTTGTGCTTGTAGAATATGAAGAGAATTTATTCAGAAGAGTATTCTTCGTTTATATGTCTGTGTAATTACTTCACCCGACATGTTATATTTTTAATCAGTATTAAATGAGTAACCAACCGACGGTGTTGACAGATGTTTTAAACAATATAACGTATGGTGTATTTTAACTCTTTGGGATTATACTAATCTATCGTTATATTATCGTAAGGTTTATATAAATGTCTGTGAAGCTGAGTGTGAGTACTTTGGCTACAACTGATATTTTATTTTTTATAAACATCTCGTAAACACCAATTTGAACTTTTCAGTATTCAAAACGTCTGTGTGCACAGCAAATTCACTCCAACTCATTGTAAACATTTCTAATCCAGCTTACTATACGTTACCCCAACTGTTTTGCTTCTTTTGCAAACTGTTGTGCTAGTTTGCGTTTCTGAAAGAATCGATTGCGGGTTATGGCTGGCAATCAATTAGAATATCCAAGTTCTAAAACGTATTTTCTTTACAATCAGATGGTATGAAATGTCGAATACTAATTGCTTTACGTATTGACTAACTTCCATCAATTTTCCGTGTTTTCAATCGGTATTTGGAATCAAAGTGAATAACTAGCCTGATATTTTGTAACAGAATAAATATCAACCCAAAAAGAAATCGGTTTCTTTCCACTTCACACTTACTTTGCTAGACTGAATAAATCATTCAATATTTGTGCGCGTGAGAAGACTGGAATAGCCTAGACATGAAAAAATTACATAAAAATCGAAATGCCTTGTGAAACATCGAGTCACAATGTAAAATACAATCCCTAAAGTGAATGTGATTTCAAAGAGATCACATCTTAGTTTGTGTCACTAAATGACGAGCTGAAATTAGGAATTAACAGCCTAAAGCGAAATTCGATATATTTCGATGTACATATTCATGTCCCGATATGTTTTCATTCATACACTACTTCCATATATGTCTGACTGTTAACATGTATTAATACATCTTTATTCTTACATCATTTGACCTGCTGTAAATATTGCATGACATAATATTCCTTTTCACTTCGTATTTCTGCCACTCAACTTCTACACAGTACGTAATCTTACGGGTTAACAAAACGGGTGACATGTTGATTTAACTCTTTCACGTTCTCCACTTTATACATTGTTATTTGCGTCTTTTTATATTTACATGATAGATCTCAGCAACAATCTCCAAGTTTAACAAGATCTGCTCCAAAAGAGCAGACTACTGAGGAACATATCTAGAAGAAGAATAAAGAAGCAGTAAATTCAACGGGTCAGTTGCTCAACCACAAAAATCATCAACACAAGTCATAGAACTCTATCTGGCTTTTGTTACAGCACTTTCAACAACACTGTAATAGACCAGTTCAAGTGAAACAACTGGACATCGAAGCTGCAATGTCAGCCAGCATACCAACTGATACACTGAATTCAGGCACAGAATACCTGCGAAAGTGCTCTAGGTTCTATTACAATGATTTCAACACAGTGTTGTTGAATCGATCATGAGACTCAGTAAACTACCAAATTCGAGATCGACATTCTGGATTTCATAGGGATCGTTTGTGCGCAAACGAAATTGCAAAGATTGCAGATAGAAGTTGGACAATCAACTGAATGAAACTCGTCACTATACATTATATGTGATAACTAGAGATTGGTTGACATGGCTTAATAAAACCACTGGGTTGTGGATAAGATAAAACTGAAGCCGAAGTAAAGATGGACAACTGTATAAACAGCATTGAAATATTCAATGCATTATTTCTAGTAGATGCTGACAACCTGAACGAATTAAAAATGAATCTCACTAATGTATTTGAAGGTTTGAAATTCTACTCAGGCACTAGGAAACTATCATAGGGAACAGCTGAAAATGAGGCAGTAACTTTGACACGCCTGGAGTTGCTGGGCCGCAGGATACCTAATATTGCTGTTTCTCTTCCTTTCAGCAGTCAACTGAAATGTGGATACGACCACGTCTGAGGAGAAGCAGAGAACACATTGGACAGCCTCGATTCACTTGGATATTATGATATCAGTAGATGACTCAACTCTTTCATACCATGCTTCCAACAATCCAGGTGAAGACAGTCAGTGTAGCAGCAGCCTCTACAGCAGTAGCCCTCAACACTCATAAAGAGAATAAGCAAGATCCTCAATAGAATCCTCAATACAAATATCGAGACGGTTCTAGTGTACTGAGCTGAAAATCGCAGAACTGCCATAGTCATCATCAAAAGCTACATGTGTTCATAAACAGTTGTCTGAACAAGACACTCAATATCGGTCGACCGGATATTATCAACAGAAACACACTGCAGTAGAAAACAAAACAACTTTCATCTGAATATGAAAGCACGACGAGATTTTGGAGGTGGGTACGACAAGCATTGTGTTAACCATCAGACGGAATCTCGAGACAATCACACCGAATCCAGAAGGCAAGAGGTACAGAGGAAGATAAAAGAACACGTTGCGTCGAGAATCGGAGGCATATATCGAAAGAATGGGAAGCGATTGACGACGAGGCTAGGATAGAATAGTTTGGAGAGTCCTAGTTGGCAGCCTAAGCTTTTCCGAGCATTGTCAGACGACAGAAATTCAGTGCGCAATTATATAAGTAAGTAGGTAAGTAAGTAAAGACGTAAGCATTTGGGTACATAATCAAGTACGTAAGTAAATATTTAAATAAATAATTACGTTAGAGCGTCCTTATGTCAAATGACAAAAAGTTATTTTACATGTGGTTTCATATGTTTAGTTGGTAAATGGTCATGCCGTCTGACTTAAGATGTGCAGTGTTTCATATGAATTGATTTTAAGACAATGATTAAAGTTGGATATTCACAATGAATGAAGATCCATTCTCAATAGTTTATGTTAAAATATATTGTATCGCTTATCACATTCTACAAAATTTATCCTCATAATTATGCTTACTTATCAATTTCCATGTTACTAACAAGATTATATTTAAAATATTTGATAGAATAGTTATTTATAACAAAGAGAAACACAAGTGTTTTCAACAAACCGTGAAATTCCTTTGCAATTGATTGATTAATAAGACCCAGTTATTGTCAGCGTAGTGAACCCGATAAAATCCTCCTTGTTTCACATTCACCAAATACCAGTCGTCTGAGCTTATGTTGATTGTTTGATTCATTTCGTCTTGTGTAATTGGGGAATAATCAAATAAGTCAGTAATATTATAACATTAATCATATTTATATTATATTATTATTATGATATAATGAGTTAAAGCTGAATGAGTGCGTGGAGTTTAAGTAATTATTTTCACCTCATCAATTTAATATTGAAGGGACGATGAACGTTTTATTCTATGTAATGTTAGAAACATGACTCAGTATACATTAGTACTACACATGTTGGATAGAACAACCATGTTCTCATTGTCGAGGAAGGCTCGTCAAACCGACTATCTAGCCTCAGAATGTGACGCGAAGTATGTACAGGTATGTGAAGCATAATAATCATTTATACTAATGAAAATGGCAGAATGGTATTTCTTACTGTTCACCATCCACACAATATCTACATTTGTCCAGTTCACCGTTTGTGCTGACCCATAAGTGATTGGTATTCTCCAGGAGTATCTGGATGAAGCAAAAGGTATAATAATGAAGACTAAAAGCTATCAAACTATAAATATAATAATCAAAACAGGAAGTTTGATCGAGTACCACAACAAAACACATGTTGATAATGCTAGTTGATCGATAGGGGTCAAGTTGGATTTCAAATGTAAGTAGATAGGAATGTCCGTTAGTTTAATCTACTACAAAGTATGTCCTATGCACCTCCATAATCTTGTCTCTAATTTCCTCTTCATTTGAATGATGATTTGTTGTCTCTCAATGTAAACTGTTGCTGATTGTATCCGGTCAACGTCAGTGAGTATCTTGTGCAGACGATTGTTTACAAATGCTTGTACATTTTTGATGATGGTTTTAGTAGTTCTACACGTCGCCGCTCAGTACAACAGAACTATTTTGACGTTTGTATTCAAGATTCTGACTATGATGTTTACTTGCATACAGTTGTTAGGAGTTCCATATGTACTTCAACTATAAGAACGTAGTCCTTGTTTTGCCAACCCTCCCCCAAATGTCTGCATCGAGCTCTCTTTGGTTATCGATGATGATGTCCAGATACATGGAGGTTTCCACGATTAAAGTCACTTTTCCGAAACCCTCATACATAATCGTTATATCCGTGTTACCGAATGCTTAAGAAAGCGAGAGGCCACTGCATTTTCCACGACACGAATTACAAACACCGGGATCGGCGAACTCGAAGATCAATTAACCCGAAAATGTAACAACGATCGTAGTCGAAAAGACATTCACCATACATTGATCGTACGCCCATTTCGTTTAACGATTGGAATAAAAGCACATGTATGAAAAACACGGAGAATTTCAACAAATCACATGCTACATTTCATGCTGAGAAGAGGTTATGTTAATTTAATACGAGTATATCGTATCTTGAATGAACACCACGCTGAAACAAATTATTGTTATGTCGAATAAAATATTACACTGGAAAATTAAAACAATAATACACCTATTAAGAAACGGAAGATATGTTGGTTGAAAATCACAATGAGTCAAACTTGATTTCGCCTTTTTATCTCGTCATATAAATTGGTAAATGGCAATGATTTAAGATAACCTATTGAAAATGTAGTGAGAGCAATACAGCAAATAATTCATTCGCTAAACAGCAATCAATTGTCTCAAACTTCATTATTTCTTCATTTCCACACTAATCATTCTCTCTTCACCTTCTTTTCTCTTCGATCTTGATAACCTTCCGCTCCCAGGCATTCACTTTCACTTGATGGTACGTCCTAATTATATCTATCGACACCAGTACCACTCAACACGATAACAAATGTTGCATACATTACAAGCTCACTTTTCTTCATATATAATCTCTGAATACGGATGTTGTCTAAATTAATACATAGTTCACTTACTGACGATTTGTTTGAGATGACTTGTTACCATAGTGTTGAAAGTAACGTATCTGCTCGAAACAGAACACATTCGAACCATTTCTCTTTACAATCACTAGTGGATAATTACTTTGTTTAGTCCAAGAGTCCATAATAAATCCAATGTCCAAATGATTTCCTTGAGTATTCCATTCCTAATTTGCAATTAAAACGAAATTTTGATTAGGTTGTTGGCCTTATACTTTTGACAAATAATTTTACAGTATCGCAAATGTTTTTGTGTTTCAATGATCTGAGGCGTGTTTCGAGGATAGTGGTGGATATAACTGAATGAAATACAGTTAAATTCACTGATTGTTTAAGACCATTCACTATAATTTCATTTGTTGGGAATGTGGTAGGTGGATGAATAATTTAAAGCAGCATGCTCAAGCATGATCACGTACACAAACTGATTATTGAGGTTCTACCACTGTAACTTCAATCGATGGAATGAATCAATGGATGAAACTCCAACTACTACTAACATGGAGTCTAGTGTTTTTTCAGAATAACATCAAAGAATAAGTAGGAACAGTGTTTGCGAACAGATAGTACATAGGAATATGAATCACGAAATTATTGTTTTGATGATTCCATAAATATTCGCGCGCTATTTAAAAAGGACAGTGGTATTTTTCCTCGCTGAGTAAATTTCATTGTTTTGATCGTTTATTGCGTATCAAGACTACTGTTTTCACTTTAACTGAATTCATTTCAGTTAAAGTATTCGACTAGAGTACCGTTTTTACCGTTCTCTCAATTAGTTTTGTCGTTGGTACTCTTGAGTACCTCATTTTCAAATGTATCTGTTAGAACTTTTGGTCCTAACAATCTACAGTTCTTCACGTTTTGGTCATCGATTATTTTTTGTTTCTGAGTATCATCGCATCTCGTTCCTTTTTGAAAAGGTCGTCTTTTAAATGACCGGACAGCGTAAAAAAAAGCAGTTGCCAACGTCCGGGTTGTCGTTATTCCGTTAAAAGCGGAATGCGGTGCGACGAGTGCAAAAACTGGTACCACGAAGTTTGCACGCCTGTGGCTTTCAGAGGGTTCAGTAAGAAGGGTTGCGTATGGCTTTGTCAACAGTGTCGTTCGGATGCAAACAGCCTGTTAACCGAAGCCATCTCACTGGTTGATGCTGCAAACAAGTGTTTTAGCAAGCGTAGTCGGAACACGTCAAACAGCACTCGATCTGTCGACACACAAGTCGACATGAGGCAAACTAAGGTTAGTTCGATAGTAGATGACTCACGCCGGTCAGAGAAGGAAAAGCAGTCTCCAAAGGAGCCTGCCTTAAACAAAAGCTCAAGGAAAGCATGTTTTACTGTTCCCCGTCTCCCAGATGCGATCCCACAGGAAACGCCTAGAATCCGCGATCGCAAGGCTCGATCGGTTTCAAGCGGTAAACATAACCTGACCTCTCAGGTCTTCGACAACCCTCCAGAATCCAACGCTAGGTTTGATGCACTGGTGTTGCTTCTCCCAGCACTATGCGGTTATCCCATGTGCTTTAGCGCAACATGTGAAAGAAGCGACTAGGTACGACCCGGATACTGAATCATCCTCACTAGATCTGATACTCACTCACTATGAGGATGACGTTGCTAGCCTTCATTATATTCCACTCCTAGGTAAAAGTGATCACGCACTTTTAATTTTCGACTTCCATAAAACTGTCAATCACGAGCACGCATCAGCCCAATCCAGACCTAATTTCTGGAAAGCAAATATACCAGATACCATGCACTCAGCATCGTTAGTAGATTGGACAATAGACCCAGAGTTCTCAGTTGAAACGGCCTGGGACGCATTTCGAAATTCATACCTAAAAGTTACCACACCCCACATCCCTTGGACTATACTAGGGGGGCCGAGAAATTCCCCACCATGGTTCAGTAGGAAGGTTCGCATCCTTCTCCGTAAGAGAAGAAAAATGTGAGATAGATTTGGGTTACTGAGAACTGACGAAAATAAATCTCAGTATAGAAAAGTCCGGAATACCTGTACCTCGACCCTCCTTAAGTCTAGAAAGTTATACTAAGAAAAGATTGTTAAGGAATCCATAGAATGTCCTAAACGCTTGTATTCTTATATAAACCAAAGGACAAAGAGAAGAGGAAATATTCCAGCTCTATGGGGAGATAGTACTACCGCCTCACTAGTGGAGGACGACTTTGGTAAGGCTCAAGTGTTCTCGAACTACTTTAGCAATGTATACACCATAGAAGCACCCTTTCCATCAGCGCATACAGATCCCCCCACACATACACTGGATAGCGTGACCATTAAAGAACTCGATGTCTTCGGTAGATCCACGGGGCCCGATGAATTACATCCACACAACCGGCTCTTATATAAGTTAAGAAACGTCGGGATTGGAGGCAATCTATTTATGTGGATGAAAGACTTCCTATTTTGGCGTCAACAAAGAGTACGAGTGAACTCAAAGTTATCTAGCTGGGGAACTGTGTTTAGTGGAGTGCCCCAGAGCACTATTTTGGGGCCAGTGCTATTCCTCTTGTATGTAATTTACCTTCCTCGTCTCCTATCATCATCGGTCTTGCTATATACTGACGATGTAAAGATATGGAGAACGATACGATGTGAGGGTGATAGCTTAGAACTCCAAAATGACCTGAAGAAATTATCTGAATGGTCTCAAACCTGGCAGTTGCCGATAAATACTTCCAAGTGTGTTGTGATGCATATCGGTCATCAAGGTACAGATAGATACACGATGATTAACACTGAGCTACCTGTTGTCCAGACACACAATAACTTAAGTCATCGTTAGCCAAGACTTAAAGACTATTGCAAACTGCTCTGTAATAGCCACCATAGGTTTTAGAACGTTATGGTCAATATGTAGGGCTTTTAGTCATGTCTACACTAAGACGTTTTCGACTTGATATACAGTATTCATACGTCCTAAACTTGAGTACTGCATACAAACGGCCAGCCCCTGATTAAAAAAAGACAGTGAGCTTCTGGAAAAGGTTCAGAGAACGGCATCCAAGCTGATTCCCAGAATAGCGGAGCTTCCGTATGAAGCTCGATTGGCCAACCCGAACCTTTTCCCATTGTCATATCGCAGAACTAGAGGCGACTTGATTACAGTTTTCAAATTGCTTAGTGCCAAATTTGCACTTGATATGCCCTCATTTTTCTTGTCTTCCAAAACAGAGAATTTACGAGGACACTCCAAAAAAGTTCACAAGCCAAGAACAAATTACTTGTCAGCTGACTGTCGCCTTTCCCATCGAATCATCAACGAGTGGAACTCATTACCTCAACACGTGGTTGAGGCTCCATCCGTCCATTCTTTCAAAAGAAAGTTGGATCAACTGAGAGACCATCATTGTCGGGACTAACACAGGCCATCAGGCCTCCTGTCCTTCCTAAACTGAAACTGAAACTTTTGAAATATATTTCAAGGCGACTATTCTGTTCAGTAATAACAAAATGCGTGACGATCAGGAGAAATTATGAAAAGAACTCAACAACAAAATACATTACAC